GAACTCGACTTTCCATCCATTTTGCTATATTTTTGTATTATACAAGTGCTCCTGAGGTTTTAAGAGCTGCATGATAGAATATTTCCCTGGAAGCACAGGCTCCATTAAACTTCCTCTCTTATGTTCGAGGTCTGTCTGCTCTTGTACGGTCTGCTGAGCTAACACAGTGCTGCTGAGTAGGAGGAAGCATTCTCTAGCTTCTATCTGTCTCTCTGCCTCTTATCCTTTATGTAAATACTGCATATTGAAGACACATTCACTGAGATCAGTGTTTATCTTAGTAATGAATCACTACAGTCTGGCAGTGAGCAAAAGCTTTTTGATGCACAAGAAATTCTTGCAGTTGGCTGGAGATTAAGGACCAAATCCTTTTTATTAGAAGATGTTTACAGTGTTGTTTGAATAACTATATCCTGTAGTGGGCAGACAGTGTTGCGTGCATTATCAGGTTGTTCTCATTGCGTTTGGTTAAGTTCCAGGTGTTCGCTATTGGAGCGGCTGTCAGCAGCCAAGCCAACCCTTTATTGATATGTTTGCAGTGGCTAGAAAGACCAAAGCAATTTGTATGGGAGGAAAAATGCATGTACACATCATTACGTCCACAGGTGTTTTGTAAAAGAGAAAATAAACGAGGAGAGAGGTACTAGCACAGATGAACATTGCTCAAGTCTGGCAACCTTTGTAGTTTGTAATTTTTTTTTTTCTGTGTTGCTCTTTCCTAACATATTTCCCTCCACGGATGCCTGCACATCAGATCAACAGTTCATTAACCCGCTCACAAGGTTTCGTAAAAATGGCTATATTTAGTTTGAATCACAAGAATGCCTCTTATTGAATGTGCCCCTTTCTCTTAAAATAATCCATCACCAAATTGAGCAAAGAAAAACAGAGCTAATTCTGAGAGTCGCCAGGCCTCCTCCTCCTCCTCCTCTTCCTGCGCTATGAAAGATTCCATTCACACATGGGGCTCGGCTATAATAAGGAGCGCCGTACCAATGCTGCAATACGGGAAGGCCCATATGGTCATGTGTATCATTTTCCATTTAGAGAGCAGCTAACAATTCTAACAATTTGAGTAAACACTCACCAGCTTGTCATAAATCTGGCAGGTTCCCATTCATCACAGCCTCTGTATGCTTAGTTCAGCAACCAGGAGACAGCTGCAGAGAGAAGTACAGCTATGGGACATTTTACCTCCAGTATGATGTGATTACATGTTCCATTGGTAAGACTTAAACTATTTTACAATCAAGCAGATAAGGCAATAATTCCCCTTTTCTTAGAATTAGATTTTTTACAGAGGGCCTCTGTGTGGTTGCCTCAAAACTTTCAACTCCAAGGTTAAGAGAACCTGTCCTTGAGGAGGCGAAGAAGGAGGAGGAGGAGGAGGAGGAGGAGAGTCCCTATTGAAGAAAGGATGGTGGTCATGCACACAGCATAAATACTTATTAAGTTATTCAGACGATGTCCTTGATTTCAGCACCTCTTCACGCCTTGTTTTTCAAAAGGACTTCAAAAGGTTTTTTTCAAGAGCGGAGATGGAGGGAGGAGATCATTTGTTGCACATTCCTAGCACTTGGAGCAGGCCAAAGCTTTCTAGTTTATTAAGCCAAAAAGCTCAAGAGCAGGAGCCCCAAACCCAAATTCAAGATCACATAGACCTTTATCCACAAAGGAATAGTTAGACATTTTTGGTAAATGTGCTTATTTATTTGTTACTTCATTTTTTGTTTGTTTTTCCGCCCTGTCGTTAACGTGTGTCTTGTTTGGTTTTTGTGTAGATTAAACAAATGAGATATAAAATTATTAATGTCTGAGCTTTCATGGTGCTAGTATGCGGATTTTGTTACCTTTGGACAGAGCCAGGCTATAGCTGTTTCCCTCTGTTTCCAGTCTTTAGGCCAATGGTTTTCAGACTGTGGTCCGAGGACCAACAGGGGTCCTTTAGTGGGTTGTAGGAGGTCCCCAGCAAAAGGAGGAATAGAAAACATTTAACTTTTAACACATTTTTCGGTTTTGACTGATTGCAATGTATAATGATCTTAGTTGATCATTAATTGACTACAACGACTTTATAATATCGAAACCTAAAAATGAATTTGAAAAGTTTACTGTGGGGATTCCTTCTGACAAAATCCTCTCAAATTGGGGGTCTGTGGTCTAATCTGCATCTATTGTGAGGATACTTGACATGAAGAAGTTTAGTCTAAGCTTAATTAACTGGCTGCCTGCTGTAAATGTATATTTTCCATACAGACCAGAGTCATATTGATTGTTTCAAGGTAAAGGAATTCACCTACCAGTAACTATAAAGCTAAGTAATAATACGTTAATACGGGTTAACGACCAAAATAAAACCATCTGATCATATAAAAAAAACGTACTAGTACTCGGAAGAAGCTTATGAAGCCAAATTAAAAGAAGGATCCTCCACTAGAAGGCTGGGTATATAATAAGTGTCGAATACTCTGCAAACAACACTGCGGAGAGATTTTGCAGTGCACCGTTGTATATTTTTACGAATGGAAAAAAGCGTTCAGATGTTCCCCTGTTTTCAAGAAGACTATAACTCTCAGGAAAAGTCCTTCCAACTTTCACAAGTCTTTGTTTGACAGAAGCAGTACCAATGCTGGGTCAGTGTGTTTTGACACTTTGCTACAGCTGGACCTTTGACATGAATCAGGCCCTTGTTGCTGTGTGTTCCCTCCATTAATCCAGAAGGAACACATGGTTGAGTGGCGGTGACTATAAGTCATTAGAGATAACTGAACCCTATTGGTTCAAGATTTGGCAATGATTTTAAATGTTTTTTCATGGCGGTTCGATCTTTTAGGCTCAACTCAGTCCACGTGAGCTCCAGCAGCACCAAGCCAATGCTGTGACCTGTTTGTGGTCCTAAAGCAGAGTCCGCTGAGTAAGAAACTGAACAGTGAGCGCCTCTGTTCTGCTTTCCTGGTAGCTGAGGAGTGAGATATGGGCCAGCTGACAACAGCCAAAAAAACTGTGGTTGCAGTTTCTCCACAGACATAAACAATGACACTTCCAATTTCCTGTGCATGCTGTGGACCAGGAAAGGCCATCCACAGAGAGGAAGGAAAACTCTGAGTGTGTGTGTGTGTGTGTTCATGCATGGTTGAGAAAGACATAGAAACAAAAAAGGAAGGAGTTTTTCATCGGTTTTACGCTCACAAGTTTCATTATTTTTCCGCTGAGTTTTGTGGCATGACTTATAAACCATTATTTTTAGAAAACATGAGTAAGTCCAGCGTTTTAGCATCAGAGGTCACCGGCCCAGCAGTCCAGATGTTGTACCTGCAGCTGAGATACATCTGTTGGCAACGTGATGGATAAAACAGCCAGATGGCGTTACCTGTGTCACCTTCCCCCACCGCGGCCCCATCAGTATAATGAACTTCTTCTTGTTTACCACATGTGTGAAATGCACCAAAGGAATGTGACTCTGTGTGTGTGTGTGTGTGTGTTTGAGCGTGTGTGTATATGTTTGGCAGAGGCCATGTGTACTTACCCTCCCCATTGTTTTTACTGCTACCAGACCGGCCATTTGTTCTGAGGCACAGACTGTGCTCTGTGTACTTTTGAGGGCTATTGCAGCTATAGGGTTTGGTTGCATTTCCCCCCCCTTTTCTCTCCCCCCAATCTCCTGTTCCTCTTCGGTGTCTACTCTGCTCAGTAATTCTGGGTTTTGTTTAGTTTTTGATGGAGGGGGGGTTAGTTGAACGCCTGGTGCTGTGCGAGCAGTGGCGCAGGCCTCCTAACACCATCACAGGGTGTTTTGGCCCGCTCCACTTCACCAGATCTGAGGGGGCAGACCTGAGCCAATTAAGAGCAGGGAGAACAGGCTGCTGTCCGTCTCACTGTGACCCGCCCCCCTCATTGCTTTGATCTCTTGCACGCTACACAAAACCAGAGCAAGAACACTTTACCCTCTCTGTGCAGGCAGTGGACGACAGGGCTTGTCCAATTATTACAATCTGGTTTCGACGTTTCTGGGTAATCAGACAAAAAGATGACAAATTACCTCTATCTCATTCCATCTGCCCACATCACAGCTGTTACTAAAACTGGTTTTAGTCAGGCCAGTCAGGACTCAGATATTTTCTTTTGTTGATTCCAATACACTAAGCTGCCTAGTCCGTTGTTCAGAAAATGTTTTTGCGGTGTCATTTGGTTGTGAAGCCATTAAATTAAGTGGTTAAGCAAACTTAAGTTTTTTAGAAGTTGTTGGATATGAAGAAGGCTCCTCTCTGACTGCTTCAACATTGCTTTTTTTCTTGTTAATCACACCTAGGTTATGTAACCTCTGACAAGTGGTCAGACATTGCATTGTTTTAAAAGGTCATAGGTAGAGCTGGGCGATAAAACAATTATTTAGGATTTCCTTTTTAAAATTATGCAAAAAATAACTGAATCATGAAATCGAGATTTAAAGTACAAATGTTATAATGCAGGGATATACAGCTGTTAAGGACTCTGTACAACAATCCCAAATCCATTTAAGCCACTCATCTAAACAACATGTTGTAGAATTTTCCCATAATATCCTATACGAGAAGTAGGGCACCAGTGATAAGTCATCACAGATGGGGTTATGTTTTAACACCACCAAAGATATGGTGTCTTTATTTTTAAGAAGAAAAAAAAAGTTTAATTGCATATTGGGTGTGTTGTGAAAAAATTGGAGATTATAATTTTAGACCATATCTCCCAGCCCTAGTCTGTGAAATGCAAAATGCTGTGAATCACTGGTTTAAATGATATTTGATTATTTGTTCCACCCTGGCAAGAATAAAATTGTGGTAATTGTGTTTTTGGCGCAAAAATGATTAAATGAAAATGGAATACCATCTACAAATAAAGAAACCCATTCAATGTTATTGTGGGCTGCATATTCAGACACATAATCTGTTTTCTTTTTGCAAAATCATATTAAGGTTTTCTGGTTTAAAAATTTCACCATCTTTGTGTTTGTGTGTCCTCAGGACCTCCACGGGTGTCTGAGAAAGTTGCTCATAGACAGTCAGCACGGCTCGGGAGCGACATTAAGCTGCCATGTCCAGTGGAAGGAGACCCTCCGCCGCTCATAATGTGGACCAAAGACAACCACAACATCCACAGTGGCTGGATTCGTTTCCGTATCCTCCGCATGGGCCTGAAGATCAAGGAGGTGGAGGCAGACGACACGGGGACCTACATCTGCAAAGCCACCAACGGCTTTGGCAGCGTTAATATCAACTATACCCTCATCGTCATCGGTGAGTGCAGATGGATAGTTTGTATAACCTGTTGCTCTGCAGCATTGTGAGATTAGATCATCAAGGATTTTAAGATGTGTCACTCTTGTTAAAAACTAAAGCTCAATTCAGCGTCTTTAAAATATGAAGTCACCTGTCTGGTATCTCAAACCAGAGACCGTAGCGGTGAGTCAGTCTCCTGATTTGTACGACCAGAGCACTTCATCTTCTGCTGTTTTGAAGCCATATTTATAACACTTTCCTGCAGTGTAAAATATCACCACAGTTCAAATGTTAAAAGACAGCATCACTCACAGAGGTCGGGGTCTAAAACAAGTGGATTTATGGAGGTTTAGTGGTTGATCCCTTCAACTATTGTATGTGTTACAGCCCCTACTTCTCCCTGCCCAAAGTCAACAGCGGCACGGGATATTGTTTCATACCCCTTCATCCTCTGTGACTCAATTGGATCTCGAGCTCTTCCTTTTCCTTAGGCTACACTCTGTGGAGGCAGGAGGTCTGCAGCTCCGCAATAAGAAACACATTCGGTGTAATAGTGCCGGTTTGTCTTCAGACTCTCGCACAGCTCTTGAATGGGGCCTGGAGGATTACGCGCAGTCTGATCGAGTGTGTTACTCGTTTGTGCATGTGCATACAGTGCATTTCCTCTGCGCGAGAGCAGAGCATGATGAATGAGTGGAGTGGAGCGTGAAGGCTGTGTTTAGTCTAATTACTCTAAGATGCCTAATTAGGGCCAGAGTCTGTGCTCTCTCTCTCTTTGCCTCGCAGGAGGAGCTGCATCCTGGTCTTCTGACAGCCGGGCTTTAGAAGAAGAGCCATAATCAGACAGATGTGGAAAACACAGAGCACTTCAGAAAACTGTGCTTTTTGTAGTAAATCACGCTCATGAGTTGAGAATAGACAGACCAAAGTTTATTTTAGGGTCCCCCTCAATATGAAGTTGCCAGTGAGTTCAAAGAGAGGGTGTCTGCTGATTGTGCTAAAATGAAAGGTTGGAGATTGAGGCAGGGAGCCAGCTATAATGTCAAGGTTACAGTTATATAGTATCAAAGTCAGACGTGGCTATGTCTGTGTCTGCATTTCACTTAAAAGGCACTCTGGGTTTTTACATACACTGAACACTTCTTTGTGGAATACATCCAGAATCAATCATGTGAGGAATGACAACGTGTCATTTTAGGTTTGTTTCAAGGCTCCGTTGGTTGGATACGGTCACAATCCTCGGTGTACTTAGATGTGACAGATTGAGTCATAAATGCAGATTCTTTCAAGTGGGTAGTGGAGTCAATGTGAAAAGAAACAAAAAGCAGCCAAACACATTGGTAGATATTTTTATTTAAACTCACACTTTTGTTTTTTGGCATTTGAGTTTTAATTGATTTTAAAGAAAAGGTTTTCTACATGGCGTCATCACTATAGGGCCACAAGATTATAAATTATTACAAGATATGTAGAAAAATAAAATAAACTTAAAAAAAGGCATTTTTTTAAGTTTATTTTTTTAACATTTACGTGTGCTTATTGGAGAAAATTTACAGTTGAAACATTTGAAATAACTGAAACGCTGAAATAGTTGTAGTTGAAGTGGCAGTCAAAATACAAATTCTGGAATAAGTTCAATTAGCCGTTAAAATGAAAGTGCTAAAAGAAGTTGAAGTTTCAGTTAAAGGTGGGATCACTCATTCTGGAAAAAGATAGTTGAGTGTTGAGTTTCATTTCCAAAGCATCAGTATTTGACAACCTGGGAATGAGACTTAACAATCAACTATCTTTCTCCAGAATGACTGACACCACCTTTAAAGTGCAAGACCCGAATGAAGTTGAAGTGAAAGTGTAAAAAGTAGTTGAAGATTCAGTTGAAGTTCAAGCACTGAAAGAAGTTTAAATATTTCCTTGACCACTGGCCTCTTTAAACATGTGAGACAGCTTATTTTTTAAATAAAGTATTTGTCTTTGCAGTAGAGCCAAATACTGTACATAATTTTGATAAATTAAAGCCAGCCTATACTCACACACGCATTCAGGGAGCACACACACACACAATTAGCCAATTAATCTCAGTGATAGATAACAACTTTTTCCTTGCGGTGTGTTTACGTGACAGATAATTTGTCTGGTTTGGCTTCTGCTGCAGTGCGACTGAGTGAGAATGAAGACTTCAATGAAAACAGTTTAAGACTGCTGTGACGAAGCGGGCAGGGATCGCTGGGAGATCAGTTCAACCTGACTGCATGCATTGCTCTACTCCCACTCGGTGATTACGTTAGGAAAAAAATACCATTGGAAGTTCAATCATAAGTCTTTCTTGGAAGCATATTTCCATGAGATTTTTATCAGGACTGTTTTTGCCCTTTATGGAGTTACCTAGAGACTTTCTGGCCTGACTCTTAATCCTGATCTGGTTTACTTGTCCTGGTGGTGGTGTGTGCGTGAGAGACCGACTCGAGATACTAAACAACCAGTCTACATTTCACAAGAACAACCCCCCCCTTTCTGCTCTCTTGTCCGTCATCCCATTAGGCACTGGCAGGCCATCACCACAAGGTTTGTTTTTATAGGTAATTGCTCCATCAGAGCTGCATTGCATTCTGGGTGCCTTTTTTTTGCCACAAAGATTAGGGGGCCTCATTGTCAAAATACTTCCAGGATTGGAATCATCTTAATGCAGCCAAATAGTCTGCAATTATCATGAGCAACACTTTCCATTAACGTTGAATCGCCTAATTGTTAGCCATTTTCATTTAGTTGCGTGCAGTTGACTGTAGTGACCTGCTGGGAGGCCTATTATGTTGCTAAAAAAGATCAGAGGAGAGAGATTATTTATTTTAGACACTGTAAATGAGGGGTAGCTCCCAGCATAGCTCCTCATACAGTATCCATCATGTCAGTTTATTATTTTTACTGGATCGCAGAGGGAAAAAGAAAGAGAAGCAACTGCAGTCAGTTATAGTGCCGGTCAGGGGAGAAGGGTCGACGAAATCCTGGCAGCTGTTCAAGTTCAAGGCCCAATGTGGAGAGTATAACTTTTTAAACATCGCCTGGGACCCGGCAGAGAAGCCAAGCATAAGAAAGACAGTAAGATAAAGAGACAGCGAAGACGTGGGGTGAGATTGGAGGTGAGAGAGTGAGGGGTTTTTGCAGGGTGATGTAAGTTGGGGGGTGTTCCACTGTAGCTGGAGAGATATCCCTCCTCCCATCTGCCAGTGGACAGCCTGTCCTCCCCTGAGCTATCTGAAGAATCTGGTCAGTCAGTGCAACATGGCGCCTCCTCAATCCCTCCAGCTGGCTGTTTGGGCCCTGTTTGGGGTGGTCTCTTGACAACTGGCCCCCATCACCTCCCAGCACCCCCACCAGGATAGACCGATGCATGCAGCAACCTCTCCGTCCTCAGCTGCTCAGGCTACAGCAGGCTTCATATCAGCATTAAGATGGGATTGTCATATTAACATTTACAGTATTGGATTTTAATGTTTATGTCTGCACAGATAATATATTACAGGGCTAATACACGGCTGGCAGCACTCATTATATATACATGGAGATGTTGGCTCTCGCAGCACATTTTTCATTCCGCTCCTCTCGGGAGATGCCGTTTGGGCCAACTGTTGGATAAACTGCCCCGTGTGTGACTGATCACATGTGGTAGCTGTTTGGAGATTTCCAGAGTGTGATGCAAGGCCACTGCGCTTAACTTTCCCTGGACATTACAATGTCCCCAACAACATCTGGAGCTCATTGTGACCTCAAATCATCAGGCCTTTTCCTGTGATTCAGCTGGCACAGGAGGCCAGCGGGGAGAGCGTGTGTAGTGACCTGTTTCCTGTGGCTGGATTTGTGAATGAAGTGGAAGGGGATGGCGTCAGACCCTAAACACTGTAGCGAGTCTATGAATGGATCTAAGTTGTATGGAAGGAGGCTGATTGCATTTCAAACAATTTGATACGTTCTCTCGGAGCATTTTCTTGGATATTCAAGCACTTAAATCATGACTCTTTAGCTGAATTTCCGTTTGTATAATGAACCTTTGATTTCATACAATACATCAAGTATAAGGATTTTTGTTTGATCACCGATTCCATAATATGTTTCAGCTTTTATTTACTTTCCAGTACACAAGCACAGGCCTCTCATATATTTAGAGGCCCTTCTGTCGCTCCTCATCTATTGATTAAAATGTTTTACAATCTTCCAAAAATAACAATCATTTGACAGCCATACCTTGCCCCTGTCTGCAGTGTAGTGAGCCAACATTGTGCAAAGACAATAGTGGCAAGGGATAGCTCTAACAGGAGAGACATATAAAGGGTGCCATTGTTCCCTAGAATTGCCAAAAAGTAGAGAGGAAATAGATTCAGGAAAAAAAAAAAGTCAAAACGAAAACCCCGGCAGTGTGGGACCATGTTCTGTTTTGATTGGGAGGTTCAGGAACCGGGAGGAATGTGGAGAGCCCAAGTGAGCAACAGAGAAATATTTCTTCCAGTGGAGGCTGTTTTTTAAAGGAATGGGTTATTATAGTTGGCCAGTTAAACCCCTTCAAATAGCCATGACATCACGGCTGGGCTTGGTGCTGCAGGGGACAAACAAAGGAGGGTTTGTACCCAGAGAACCCTAGAGAGCTTTGAGGGTTTCGGGGGGACTCGAAAGGAGGCAGAACGTGGGGGTTAGAAGTCACATCTGGTCTCTTTACCTGACCCAATCAGGCCCTGAGAGGGAATCAAGTGTGCCAAACAGCATAGAAAAATCCAACTTGAGGCGGCACTGAACTCGAAATCGAAAAGAGGTATAAAAAGGTACAGAACTGGCTGGAAGTTTTTCCATTTTGTATTGTTATTAAGACATAGTTGACTTGGCCTTTACATTGTGATATTGTGTTTATCTTTCCCTTGACTTACGGTTGTAAAGTTTGTTAGAAATGTTAAGAATGACGTAGACTACCATGTCTAATGTGAAGTGACACCTCAGTAGGATCATATAAAATCATTTAACGACAGCCGTCCTCCAATAATCATCTGCTTAACGTCTCCTGCACAGAGTGGCAGTTATTGGCGAGGAACCTGATCTGCTCTGTTAATTCATCAATGCTTAACTCGAAAAGTCGATACGCATCACAAACCGTCGATTAGGTTTCACTCATTATATTTTCTCTAAGCCCCGTCTTAGCTCCACTGCATGATGTCAGCCAATGACATAAACTCCACAGCTGTCTCCTGGAACTGGGCTTATGAAAACTTATCATATTACTTCCAAATGGTGCGGAGTATGACCTGAGCATGCACCCCGCTCAGAGGAGCCTATCTATAAATGCTAAATTTACTCAGATAGAGCCAAGAACACTTTGCTGGGCCTGTTTGGTGTTGGATCGCTGCCATAAGAGCTGTGATGGCGACACTGTCAACAATAAAGAGCAAAATTCAAATGCAACGTTAATACGGGCTATAAAAGTAGGAACATACTGATAATATTAAAGTGTACACTGTCCTTAATACTGCTGTACAAACTGGAAAATGCATTCGCGCTTAAGCTCCAGAAATTTTTTTTTATCTTAAATTTGTGGAAAGAAAATACAAAATGTCCTAATTGAGTGGCTATTTGGTATCATCAGGTCAACTCAAATGGGCACACATCTTTATACTATAAAAGTAAAACTGTAATTGGATCGCCTCATATAATCTACCACCCGCTTTTACAACTTGTAAGTCATTTTTGCAGTTTGAATTCTCTGCTTCAGGATTTCCTTTATCTTCCACTGTTGACTAACTGTTGCTCTGCTGTGTTAATAGACGACTCAGGTTCTGATAAAACTGGACCAGGAGCAGCTGATAGAGCAGAGTCTGGCCCGGGCGCCGATGGCTTGTCAGAGAAATATGGTAAGAGCTCTGCTGGAATGCTTTCAGTGATGCAGTGGTAAATTAAAGGACCATAACAGTGTTTCTGCAAGTTTTATCCTATTTACTAAAACAATCACATTCACTTTACATCACAGCTAAACATATTCAAACCACGCTGCTGTGTTTTTAGATTTTTGGATGTATTTCACCCCCGGGCACTCAATGGGCCCCTGCATTACTTTGATACTGCACCTTAGACAAATACAGACTTTAACAAGTTACAGTAGTCTGCCATTTGATTTTCATGCCATACAGAAATGAATAAACATCAATTGGTGTCTGGAACAGAAAGAAAAACAAAAACATCTGATAATGTAAAACATCACAGGACGCATTTGAACTGTATATATGATTTGTAGGTCAAGGTCCAGTGTGATGAGTTACTAAATGTTTCTTCTTCTGTCCCCTAAAGTGCGTCCCCGCTTTACCCAGCCCGCTAAGATGAGAAAAAGGGTGATAGCTCGTCCCGTTGGCAGTTCGGTGCGGCTCAAATGCATGGCCAGTGGAAATCCTCGACCGGACATCGTGTGGCTGAAGGACGACAGGCCGCTGACGGAGCAGGAGGTCGGCGAGGGCCGTCAGAAGAAGTGGACTCTGAGTCTGAAGAACCTGACGCCAGAGCACAGCGGCAGATACACCTGCAGGGTCTCCAATCGGGCAGGGGAAATCAACGCCACTTATAAAGTCGAGGTCATACGTAAGTAACCCACAGAGAGGCTGAGCTGTACGCATACCAAACCTATTCACCTGGAAATATCAATGCTAACAGATGAGGCAAAGGTAATTCATTTAAATGATTACTGCTGTTTGCGTGGATCATTTTGTGATCTTTTGTACATTGCTGCAGGAAATTTAAAGCATAGGAACTGTAACCTTTAAAAAAACACATTACACATCTCTCTGATCTACCTACTCCTGACGTCTGATTGCGATCAGCAGGTCTTATTCATATCCTCGCTGCATGGATGAATGTGCTTGTGTAATCATGTATATGAGAAGCATATTGAGGAAGCAGGCTTGAGAGTGAGGGCTTGTGCCCTGGTGTTTGCACAGGGGGGAGAGAGAGAGGGAGAGAAAGAGGCTGTTCAACTCAGAGACCCTCCACCCAATCTGGAGCTGATTAAAGCCCAGCTGTCTGCCAGACCCACTGCCCCCCCCTCCCCATGAGAAATGTGTGCTGTACAACCAGGAGCAAAGAAAGACAGGAAACTAATCACACATACTTCTTGTGTTACATGTGGTATTCCTCCCTCTCTGTCAATTATAAGTTCTAAGCCGGAGGCTAATAATGGTATGGACAACTAAGACCTCTTCTATCCACAGAAGGGCTGTCGTGTCAAAAGATGTCTGTGTGACAGTTTTCACCTGTGTTTTTATGCAGAGAGGACAAACTCTAAGCCTATTTTGACGGGCACTCACCCGGTCAACACGACGGTGGACTACGGAGGCACCACGTCGTTCCAGTGCAAAGTGAGGAGCGACGTCAAGCCGGTCATCCAGTGGCTCAAACGCGTGGAGTCTAACGAGGAAAGCCGCTACAACTCCACCATCGAGGTGGGAGACCACCGATTTGTGGTTCTGCCCACGGGGGAGGTGTGGTCACGACCCGACGGCTCCTACCTCAACAAGCTGCTCATTACCCGTGCCAAGGAGGAGGACGCCGGCATGTACATCTGCTTAGGCGCCAACACCATGGGCTACAGCTTCCGCAGCGCCTTCCTCACTGTGCTGCCAGGTGAGGCCTGGCCAATGTCTGTTTACTGTGTCCCACCGCCACAGCAGCAGGACGTCACAAAGCGTACTGCAGAGCAACAAATCAGCAGCTTGGACGAGGATCTGTGCTATCAGTTTGTGTATTTTATGCGGTTGTTTATTTTTAGGAATCTGCATTAGTGCACGAAACACAATAAAATCAGAGGAATGTTTAACTGAAATGAAAGCGATACTGCATACATGTCAGGGAAAAGTAAAGAGGACAGATGACAACAAAGCAATCTTAACTAGCACAGATGTTTTGTTGTTACCTGTTTTATGTCAGTTTTGATATGTTTTGGACTTGTTATTCTCCACCAAATATGTATCATCAATCAACCTGACTAGAGACAGAATAGCTTGTTTTTTAGGGGTTTTAGTTTTTTGCTTTAGTTTCTCTGCACCTAAACTGAAGGAAATGAATAAAGCAGTCAGAGAATTGAAATGATGAATCAATTCATTAATTAAAAAGAAAAAAGTTTTGATCGATTTTGATGAAAAAATCTGCCAAACATTCACAAATGTGAGGTTTTCTATCCGTGTGAATCAAATATTTCACTTCAGCTTATTGCAATAAGCTGAAGTGAAATATTTGAGCTGTCAGTGGCGTCTCACGGTCTTCCTCAGTGGATGGAGTTTGGTTGGTTTCCATCCCACAACGTAAGATAACAGATGGTCGTATATGAGAAGACTGAATGATTAAAACATCTTCGGGCTGGCGTTCAGACATTTTATTGACTAGATGCTGAATCCAAAATTAATCAGTTGATTCATTTATAGTGAAAATGATCATTTGTTTCAGGCCTCAAGCATTTCACCTGTATATTTAAACAAGCTCTTGGCAACAGAGTTGGAAACTTGTTTTGATTTTATTTTGGCCCCCTTCTTTTGCAGACACGAAGCCTCCCATCACGCCCATGTTCTCGCCAGCCCCCAGCTCACTCCCCTGGCCTGTCATCATTGGCATCCCTGCTGGAATAGTGTTCATCTTTGGCACAGTGCTGCTGTGGTTCTGCCAGAGCAGAAAACACTGTCCCCCTCCCAGCGCTCCAGCGGCGACTGCACAGGTACTGCAGAGCTCCCACCGGCTGCCGTATCGAGAGCGGGACCGGGGCTGCGTGGCTCCGTCCTCCAGCTCCTCCAGCCCAGAGAAAGACTGCATGAGCTCCATGAACTACGAGGAGTACCTGGCACAGCAACAGCTCCTCCTCACCCAGGGAGGACCAACAATCCCCCCTAAAATCTACCCCAAAATCTACACTGACATTCACACACACACTCACTCCCACGTGGACGGGAAAGTACATCAGCATCAACACATTCATTTTCAGTGTTAGCCTCAGTGCCAAATATCTCCCACTGACACTGCTCCAGTATCTCAGAGGGACGATGAGCTGTGGACCTGAACAGCAGCTCCTGAGCAACATTCACCTGACATTACTCTTCTTCTCTCATAGCTGGAGATTTCTGGGAAGAGTGTGCATGTGGGGGAAAAAAAAAAAACAGTGGCCAGTGATACACACCTTGTGTTTTTACATCCAAACTTCCATATTTGGTGCTCATTTTTTACCTGTCAGATCCTCACACCACTAAAATCCATGAATCCTTGTTGTGCACTTAATACAAAAAGGACAAGGACTCTATTTTTTTTGCAGCGTGTGAGTTTAATCGCAGCTATTCAGGCCAGCTGAAAGTTCTTCCTCAGCAGTTGAATTTTGCATTTTCCTACTTGGTGTAGCAGAAAATGGAGGTCAGGTTTTACCTTTCACTTATTCAGCTGTTGGAGCGCAGAAGCTTTGTGTGTTCTGCCTGGTAATGAAGATGAAAATGGTACTCAAGATTTACAAAAGGGGGCTGGTTTTATGCTCCTACTCAGGTAGTCCTTATGTTTGTTAAAGATGCATAATGTTTGGAATGCTGACCACTATCCTTTACGTTACCTTTCTCCATCCCTCACTTTGTCCTCCGTTAAAAGTGACATAGATAGTAGACTGGTAAGTTTTTATATCCTTTTTATGGCATGCAAACCTTGCCTAAGACTGCAAGGGATGGAAGAATTGTGTTTCCATGTTATCTGAATTGGTCTTCATTAACTTTTAACATTTGTTTTAGTTAGGTTCCCATCATCAGTCAGTAGCATGTTGAGGTAAACCAGCAGAGGATGACATTATCCAACCACAGTTTATGAAGCTGTAGTCATTTATAATCAGATTGAGTCATGAATATTTAATTTATTTTGCTAAAAAATGTATCAAAGTTTATTTTTCAGAGTAAGGCGTTTTACATATCTATGTAATGTTATTAAAGTATACTATTGTTGTCATGTATAGTACATTTTGAGTACTTTGTCACCCAGTTTAATCACATTTAGTTCATGCCAATATTTAGGTAATTCTGTATGTAATTGGTTATATTTGACAATCTTGTATGATGTACTCTGTTCAAGCTCAAAAACTAAATCATCTAAAGTGCGATGGTTTGGCAGTTTTGATTAAATGACCTAAAAGGAATTAAGTTACATGCTTCACGAAGATGAATGTATTTGTTCAACTCATGAATATCTGTCTGAATGCAGTTTGTGCTTGGCGTAAAAGCCCTTGTGAATCAGATAACGGTACCGGTGGCGGTTACCCGTCCTGAAACATAAGGGCTGGGTACAGACAGGTCAGCTTTCTCTTCCTTTGAGCAAGTTGAAGTGTCTGCTGAGGGTGACACAGAGGGCAGCCAGCAGAGGGACAGAAGTTGCTGGGATGAATGACTGAATAGATACCACACAGACACAAGAGCAGTCTCACACAGTCCCTTTTTAGATGAGTGATGGCCCCTGCAAGACTACACCGAGTGACCAGCATCTTTTCCTCCCCCCCTCCCCATTTAAAGTGAATTGACTCCCTCCGCCTCCCCCCCCGGTCCGCACTACCACCTCATTCAACTCCAATCTAGGTAGGATTTCCTTTCACCGTTTAGGAAGTGCATTGTCCTGCTCTGGGAGTGATGTGACAAGACCCTGTGATTGCTCAGGAAAGAAGGGGAGCATTGTGTCAGGTGAGCTGCTTTGTTGCGAGAATTGCAGGATGGAGATGAGCTTTGGCTCCAGACAGATGAGGGGTGAGTATATTGAACAGCTTGTACAAAGTAGAAACTCTACACAATTACTTTTTTTAGACTTCAAAACTACGGTGTTACTTCCATATCCATAAATAATGCTTCAAATCCAAAACCCAGATGACAAAATTCAAGACATTATGAAGAAAAACACTGCCCCCTAGTGGTTAGTAATCATGCAGAAATTGAAATAACTGAGTAATAATTATCACACTGGTAAACTTGTAAATCATCTTTATTAACTTTTTTACAGTATTATAAGAACATTAACAAAGACAAACAACAGTCTACACAAGAAAAGGATCAGGACACGAACAATAAAGAAAAACAGAAAAAATAATTAAAGTAAACAGTATTTACAAATGAGCTCAACCCTTCTGGACTTTGGTGATAAGTTCATCACAAAGTTTGGTGAGCTCTTCCGCCTCCTTCTCCTGTAAATTAAAATAAGGGAAATTAAAAAAAATATTAAGATAATCAAGACCGCTGCAAATACACCATCTAATGTATTATTATTTATTGCATTATTTTTTTCACTCACCTTCTGGTCCAGGCTCTTCTCCAGTGACTGTACCTTCAGCTGCTCCCGACGCAGCTGGGCTTGAAGTGCAGATACCTCAGCCTTGTTCTTGGACCGCACCTCAGCAATTTCTTCATTTGCACTGCAGATGAATAATACGTGTCAGAAACTGCGAGTCCTTCACTTTACATTGTTAACACAACGGTCAGCTTTCTTACTGGCCAATTTTCTCCTCAGCGTGGGCTTTAAGGGTCTGGTAGCGCTGCTCCTCCTTTTTGATCCTGGCGAGATAGTCCTGAGCGCAAGCTTTCAGAGTCTCTTCATTCTGGGGAAAAGGCACAGAAAACATTTTAACAACCGCTACAGATTTGTTTACCTTCGTCTAGTATTTGTGGTTTAGAACAGGGCAAGTGCTCATGTTTTCTAACCTTTTTGTAACCCTCAACAACGTCCTTGTACTTCTCCAGTCTCTTGAAGAGGTCAGAGAAAGATCTCTCCATGGTGTTCAGGTCACTGGACACTTGCTCCTTCTCCAGCAGGGCCTCATTGAGCTTCGCCTGGGACACCTCCCTCTCCTTCTCTTGATCAGCTGAATAATACAAACAAGTTAAAAGAGCTCTTGTTAAGACACCACATCATTAGAAATCCTCAAGACTGTGATATATACACATCATTTATATTAACTTACCCATCATTTTTGCAATCATAAGCTCAAATTCTGCAATTATTTTCCTGTGTGGGGAAAAAGAAATGTGTCAAATGTCTCTAAACTTTCATATAATTTAATTCAAATGACAAAAACAAATGTAAACAACCCACAGCTCACCTCATTTCCTGACCATCTTCAAGAAGCTTTTTATACTTTGCACTCCACTGCTCATCTTTTTCCTTTGCCTATATGAGAAAAAGCACACTTTAATTATTCTGAAGTCTTTGTTTAATCAGTGTCATTTAGAAAAGAGTGAGGGCTTTTTCCAACCTACATACCTACACACAGGGGGTTTACTTTTTCAAAATGTATGTCTGTGTGTTAGTTGGATTTGATTGTAGGGCCTTTCTGTTTATAACAACTGCTACTGAACTAAACAATGTCCCTAGTGTGATCATCTTTAACAAAAGGATTATCCTACTTTATGAAATATTAATCTCGGTAAATGATGGAAGATTCACCAACAACCCTGCAAGCTAAACAATCATTGACAATGGCCTGTTAAACACATTCCTTTGATATTAGATGCTTGTGTTTACTCCAGAATGCACTGTGGTTGAATCAGATTAAACTGCTCCAGGGATTGTTTGGAAAACCAGAGAAAAAAAAAGGTCTAGTGTGGTTGGTTCAGTCTGTACAATAAAGTACTGTATTCACATACACACAAACAAAGTGACTTCAAAATGGGAAAAAAAGAACTTTTCAGCATTTGAAACAACTGCTGTTTCATGTAAAATCACAAAACACTGAGCGGGACATACTTCTGCCTGGACCATGCCGATGGCTGCATCCATGTCTCTTTGACTGTACTTCAGCACTTCAATAATAGCATCCTCCGTGTTTGCTGGCTGGTGGAAAGGAGGGACGAGGCTCTCAAAGATTTGAGGAGTCTAGATAACAGTGTAAATAAAAAGTTAGGAGACGTAGCAAGGACGCATTGACTGTTGTTTCCAACAATGGACAGACACCGTCAATGGTTGCAGAGAGTGACTTACTAGTGCTGTAGAATCGTCAAACAGTTTGAAATCATCTTGTTGTGGTCTGTTTGCAGTCACTTTATCTGTCATCTGAGGAGCTGCAAGCCTGAATTGGGGAGGAGAAAAAAAATAAAACTTGTGAAGTGGCCAAAGTGGTTACGTTACAGACAAATCTCATTTTGTTGTACAGGATGTCCAAAGCAGAACAAATTTAGCTCTAACGTCCAGTGACAGCAACAGCAGTCAGAGTAACTGAAAACAGAAGTACGTCATACTGTAAAACAAAGGCACCGGGGCGAGGGACGTGGGTCTGAGCAGCCGGGCCTGCAGACTTCTTTGGGCTCTCTCTCAGGAGGGGGTCAAATTTAAGGTACAAGGATTGTTTCCGTAACGCCGACTCCTTGAACTGCAGACAAGAAAAACATTTAAAATAAGTTTAGGTCATGCATTGACAATCAAAGGATTTAGTTTTTTGACATGCATGGAGTAAGTACTTACATTGCTGGACCCAAACTGTTCGAGGTAATCCATTTGTCCGTCAAAGTCATTGGCCATGACTGGAGATAAAGATCATAGGTTAACATCAAAATCAGCTTTCCATTTAATGATGCTTCACCAAATACATTCCTACTGTACACAATGAAACGTTTAAGTGGAAAAGTGATTTAACTTCCATGCAATCACACTCCAAACTCTAAAAACCTTGTGGATTTAGACAAAGTAGTGTTATAGCCAACGTTTACTTACACATGGTTCCAGGAACAAACTCGTCATTGAATTCTGACAGGGCCGTCTGTGACTTCTGCTCGGGAAGACTCTTAATGGGATGTTGAGCTTCGAGTTGAAATCCCTTGTGGTGGTCAGAGGGAGCATTGTGTTCAGCATTTTGTCATCCCACAATAACATTTATTGTGAAAAACACACAACCAAAGGAAAGTTACAGAAAGATTTTAGGATTAAATCCAACTTCTCTTACCACTCCAGGGTTGGGTTCAGCAGCTGGGACACTCTCTCCAGCACTACAGGGGACAAAAGCATACAAACTTTAATTTAAATTAAGTGTTGCTAAAAACAGTGTCCACTGCAAATAATGCTCGATACAGACAGATAAAACGTTAACATACCTTGCTGGTGATACAGCTTCCTTCTCCACAGGCTTGTCCGTTTGCTCTGGAACGTCTGCTTCCATGAGATCAGGGCTGGATTTGTTGCTGCCCTTCGGAGAGTTGTTCATGTTTGCTTTTGTGCCAAAGGGATTGAAGTTCGGGTTGTCAAACTTGTCAAAGTCAAGTGAGTAAGAGCCTTTGGAAACCGGAACATCAGCAACATCACCGGCATCAGGCTTCGCTGGAGTTTCTTTTGATGGTTTGACATCAGTTGCGGGCTTTCCCACTCTAGATTTTAGACCAGGTGGCCTTTTGCCAAATTTCTTGGGTGGGGGTTTCTGTCTGACCTCACCGCTGTCATCGAAATTGAACTCGAGCTTGACCGGTCCCTCCTTGATTGGGGCATCGACTGGCTGGGACACTGATTCAGCAGCTGAAGGTTTGGCAGCATTGGCCGAGATTGGGGCCACTGCAGCTATGGGTTTCACCTCGGGTTGAACAGGCACCTCTTGAGCCACCTCGGGCATGTCAACAACATTAGTGGGCTTATTTTCCTTTATCTGCGTCTCCTCGGCAGGTGGATTATTATCTGGCACCTTTCTCCCGAGGACAGGGGAATTCTGAATTTTAGAGCCACCGGTTTGGAAAGGATTGATTGCGTCAAGGTCGTCAAAATCCAAGGAGTAAGAACCTTTCACTGGCAATGGAGCATCTTCCACAAAACTACCCGATACTTTGCCTTCATCAACACTCGTAGACATTTGAGCAGGTTGCTTTTCATCAGGTGTGGCAGTGCACGACTCTTGGTCCTCTGCTGGGACCTTCATCATCGTGACCACACTGCTGTCTGTGGAACTGATGTCGGCGGAGACGTCAACCAGCGAGTTTTCCACGGACGGGGTAAACGGAAGCGTTTCATCTAGTGCAGATTCTATTTTGGGAGGCTCTGCCAAGATATTCTCTTGTTGCGTGTGCTGAGACTCAGCTTGATCTGCAGGAGGGATTTCAACTGCAGGCCTCGCAGGAGAGAGCATCATCTTATTAGACCCCTGAAATGGATTCATAGCCTCAAGGTTTTCAAAATCCAGCTGATAGCCTCCCTTGCTTTGTATCGGCATGTCGTCATCAGGATACGATGATCCTTCTGTGGAAAATTCAAGATTAACGTCTATTTTTCAGCAATCAGACATTCAAGGTAAATGGGTCTGTAATGTTGTTAACAAATTACCTTGTTTGGGCTCATCTGGCAGCTCAGTGGCATCTTGTGGTAAAGTCCTGTAAAAACAAAGCAGACTCTGTTGCTTAAATTGATCAACTATGTCACTGGAGGCATGTTGCAGTAAGATAAATGTTGCTTACTTTGTTTGATCCAGATTTAAGGTCTCCATTGCTTTCGTACATTCGTCCACACTTGTCATCTTGACAGACTTGGAGGGAGATAGAATTCTTTTCGTCTGAGGGTCTCTTCTTGGAGTCTGAAAACAAACCTGCATACAAGTGATTCGATCAGTAGAGCAAATTTAAGTTAGTCAAGTTATCTGGATACAAAATGTATTTTCACCACATTTATGTGCGACAAAAGTTAGTATACTTTACACATGTTGTACTAGAAACATGCCTGAAACTATCCTTGTCCACCAAGGTGTACAAGTGTTCTGCTTTTGTTTTTTTATTACAGTTGGTTTAAAGTTGTACAGATATATGCTGCAGATTAATTGGGGATGGTCAAACCTCATACGGTCAAAGAATCAAATATATAAAGTTGTCCAGGTTTAACAAAACTATCAATCGCACTACACCAATTCAGGGTAGATATAGGCTTAGCTTATAAGTTTATAAGTCAATACAGTGCGTGTGAGAAGAATCCAGAGGAGAAGGGGGACAAAACATCTAAAAAAGTAAACTGACTCTGTACCTTTGCCCCCTTTGGCACAGTCTTGCTGGGCAGGTTCTCTGTCTGGCGCAGGATGGACGGCCTCCCAGTTGGCTGATCCAGGGCAAAAATGTCGTTAATTGAGCCGTTCTGCTTTCCTCCCGGGCAGACGCCACGATTCTCATCATTCACATCAACTGAACTCATCCTGTGAAAGCAGAGAAACAGACGTACGTTACAGGGCTGAAACGACCCGACGACACTGAGGGAGGCGTCATCCTAAAAGCTGCACCCGGTTGATAAGACGCTGTTGGTCGGGGGGGTTTACTGATGCATAGAGAAAGATGACATGTGAAGTTAACAGCAGAATCAAGACCAATGTGAATTTACTTATATTGGTAAATCTTGATTTAAAAACAGGAATACGGTCTATTTTTTATTGGTGTAATAAACTCTTAAACTTTTGCAGGTTGAAAAACTGAACCATGATCCATTTGTGTTCAAAGAAATTATAAAAAACAACTAAGTTGAAGCTAGACCGGCAATGTTGCTGTGAACTAATCTTTCAGCCAGTATGAGCTTACTGCAGATATATATGTTGGTACCAGACTGGTTTATATGTTGGCCAATAAGTAACAACTGCAGTACATCATGACTGAAGTAACAGTGCTAACATTACATAGTTTGTCCACCAGAGAGCACTAACAAGTTATTGTTTTAGTATGTCACTGTTAATATAAATCAGCCAAAATAGCATCATGTAATGAGCAATATATTTGATTTATTAATATAATTGATATTACAGCTTTGAAAGTAGTATTATTTAGGTTGTGGTTCCCAGAAGTGTGAACATTGGCTAAAGTTAAAGTGGTTTAATGTAAAAGACAAAATTTAAGGGTCCCAATAAACTATGCTCGTGAGCGAGAAAACACAAAACCTTATTTTATGCAGCCATTGTTAATGTATTTATTGCCCCGTGCTTTTCATACAGTGACATTTCACAATGTCTGCTTGAATGAGTCCCAGCTGACTTTGAGTTTTAATGTTCGGCTATGAAATATTTTGATGATAATAAATATTTGGCGACCTAGAGTCTTTGGATTTTTAGTATGTGAGTAACAAGTATACAATTATCAGCTATTACAAACTTTAAAACATGTGCTTCCTTATTAATGTCTGTAAACAGCTGCCTAAGGCTGTGGTTTTCAAACTGAGGTCTGGGGACCAACAGAGGTCCTTGTGTGGGTTGTAGGGGATCCCCAGCAATATAAGGATATGGATATTTTAGAATATTTTAACTTTAATTTAACTTTTAAGCTAAAAAAACAAGGGAAGAAATGTGGTTGGCTGTTTTTATTGACTACAATTTATAGTGATCACAGGTTGATCATTAAATCACTATGAAGAGTTCATCATCTTTGAGTAAAATGACTTGATTCCTCTCAAACTGGGAGTCTGTGGTCTCTGGTTCATCTATGGTGAGGATCCTTAACATGAAAAAGGACCATGATGCTTCTGCAGTCGCTGATACTGAAGGCCCAGACCAGAATGAATCCAAGATATCCGCTTACACGTCCACACAAATCGTGAATGAACAACATCTTTGTCTTAATGGGGTCTTGGGACAAACACTGATCCGTTAGTTCCTGCTACTGATCCCCACTGAAAGAGCATACACCACCATCAATACTCAACGTGTTACAGAAACAGACACAGCTGGTTACCGCAGAATGAACGTTAGTGAGGGATTTGTCATAAAAGTCAAACAAATGTCGACACCTGTTCAGCTCAGTTAGACTACCATTAACAGAACTAGCGGTGACATTAAACTAACAACAAAGGCTACGCTGGTTAGGCTAACTGTTGACGTAAAGTGGAGGAAAACTTAAAAACTTACGATCACTTTTTTCCCAACAGACAACAGTAAGAGGCGTAAGCTCCTATATTATCATCCTATATTCAACACGTACCTCGAAACAGATGCAGTTGGCCGAGAGGATAACGTCTTTCGTTAAAGCATTCAACTGCAGGGTGACCAAGAAGAAGTACTGGTGTGATTTTGAAAAGCCCTCCCTCGCCTTGTGCGGCTGACAACCGTTTGGAATTTAAAAGTCTCGAAACGCACCAATGAAATGGCCAGAAACGTTCAAAGGCAACGCGCTTCCTGGTTAGGCAGCCAATCAGGTCAAAGAGCGGATATGATCCAATCGACGACTGCGCCCAACGGGCCAGTTTCAAAGATAGTAGCAATGACAAGATAATAGTTTCGACGACTAAAAACGCACCTACACGTAACCATGAGAAAATCAACATTTTTTTTTAACCCTGGTTTGTAATTGCGACCAGGACCTGAATAATAACACTTTATATATAAAAGGATACTAAATTGATAATCTTATTGAGTACATATAGAAACGTGATTACTTTGAGGGTGTCAGAACAACAGTAATTTGGATTGAGCGAAGTGGGAAGTGATGCTGGGAGACTTCTCCCGTTTTCACGAGCACCAGAGAAAGGATTGGTCCTTGTTTAGAGACCAAAACAAATTTAAATTTGTGGCATCAAAGAGACGAAAAAGTGTATTACAGCCTCAGTTTGGATTTAATACTACATTTAATTTGAGCCTATATCTTTAGCTTGTAATATTCTTGATAGTAATATTAGTTTTTCTTTTAACCATACTGTGCTCTTCTGTATATTACAGTGTACAGTGTTATTACAGTGTCTTTGTGGATATTATATTATATAGTAGACAATTTCATAACTGGCTGCAAACCAGTCAATATTAAAGATGGCCTCAAGAGTGAAGTCTTGGTATATAAAGCTATAAGTCACTATTTGGCAAATCTTCTATGCACAAAATGTTAAATATAAACCTTTTTCAGCAACTGTTGTTACCTGAAATATCACAAATTCTAATCAGCAATTTTGTCCTTCAACTCAGATGAATTATGATCTTTCCTGACCAAACACCTTTGTGAATAAGGCCTGGATAAAACCTCACATTTATTGTATTTATTTTATTTATTATATCTTTATCTTAGATCATTTAGCAACTAAAATCTTGATTTTTGACTTATCCACAAACACTGTCTAATAATAATTATTAGAAATGAATGTAGCATTTGCTACAATGCATATAAACAAACTAGGGTTTCTACAGTTAAAGGCTCCTATAGCTCAGTATAGTCTGACAGTATATATAAGGTCTCTAACATTGACAGTATATATAAGGTAATTGACAGTATATATAAGGTCTCTAACACTGACAGTATATATAAGGTAATGACAGTATATATAAGTCTTAACAATGACAGTATATACTAGGTATCTAACTTGACAGTTAATTAACATAAGGTCTCTAACATTGACATATAATATTAAGGTCCCAAACATCTGACAGTATATACAGTTCTCAACACTGACATATATATAAGAGTCCTAACATGACATAATTATAGGGTATTGACAGTATATATACAGGTAATTGACATATAAGTTCTAACACCTGACAGTATATATAAAAGGTAATGACAGTATATATAAGGTAATTTTAACAGTATAAGTCTCTAACACGACAGAAGTAATTGACAGTATATATAAGGTAATGACAGTGTATATCAAGCCTAATAATTGACGTATAAGGTCTCTAACACTGACATATATATAAGGTATTGACAGATATATAAGTAATTGAAGTAATAAGGTCTCTAACTACAGTAAGGTAATTGACAGTATATTTAAGGTAATGAATAAATAAAATAATTGACGTATATAATAAGCCTAACACTGAAAGATATAAGTAATTGAAGTATATATAAATTCTAACATGACATATATATAGATCTGCAGTAATATAAGTAATTGACAGCTATCTAGTAAGGTAATTGCAGTGTATAATAAGTAAATGACATATAATATAGTCTAAATTGACAGTATATATACAGGTAATTTGACAGTATATTAAAGTCTCTAACATTGACACGTATATATATGTAATGACAGTATATATATTGTATTGAAGTGATATAGGTAATTGACAGTATATATAGATTTGACAGTGTATATAAGTATTGACAGTAATATAAAGTCTCAACATTGACCAGTATATATAGAAGTAATGACAGTAATATAAGGTAATGAAGTGTATGTAGTAATTGACAGTTATATTGAAAATCTCGTAACATTGACAGTAATATAAGTAATTGACAGATATATAAGGTACACTGTATATCAGTTTTCATATAGAGTCTCTAACATGCAGTATATATAAGCTCACCGACAGTAAGGTAATTGACAGTATAAGGTCTCTAACATCCAGGTCCACATACAGGACTGTTAGTAAAGTCAGGGTGTTGTACTGTACACGCCGGTACAGCAGGTGGCAGTATGGCGGCTGGTTTGGAGGCCGATATCAGACGAAGAAGAAGAGGAAGCCCACTACCCGCCAATTTTGAGCGATGTAAACAGTATCGTCCTCTTTCTGCCTCTGCTATGAAGAACCATTTAAACATTTCTGTGTCAGCAATGAATTCCAGTGGAAAAGGTATTTATTCGTTTATCAAACTATTACGGTGTGAACATGCCGCAGACAGACGGTCTTATTGCCGCTGACAGTCTCTGTTGTTAGGTTTCCTTTGCGAGCTAACTTCACTTAACGTTAACCTGTTTGGGATCAGCTAACATTTAACGTTACTAAAGTTAGATAAACTGATATCTACCCATTATCAACGCAACAGTTAAAGGTTTTCTGACTAAACTAATGATAGCAGCGTAACATAACGTGGTATTTACACTACTTATACACCGCTTTAGGGAGGGAAACTAACAGGTAAACAACCATTAACGATGTTATAATTTTGACAGGCTCTGCCGATTCATCCCAACTTGCTGTCAGGTAATGTTCCTTTATGGCTCTTTACTTGTGTCGTCCAAACAAATAACAACAACTTATACGGTCCTGGTTCAGGGCTAATACCAAATATGTACTGTAAGTTATCTGTGTGGTTATTTCTTTATTAATAAAGCGATTGTGACTTTGACTATTAGGTGTAGATTTACTGTGTACACCTAATAGTCGATGTACAATTAGAACAGCTATACTGGAATAAAGATGGCCAGCTGTGGTAACACTTACCTAACTTGTCGTGGTTTCAACATGTTTTTTCCCCAACATCACCTGTTCAGTTTGTATGTTTTAAGGCTAATGTTTTTACTGTTTTACTAATGTTTTATTTCTGGTCCTACAGCAGTGACAGCGATTGCATCAAGGTTTTCGTGCGAGTGAGACCTGTGACCCAGGGTACTGGGCTGACCACAGATGGAGATCAGAGTATGTGTCTCACAGTCACCTCATCCAACACCATCCGTCTGCTCTCAAAACCAGAACCACGAACCTTCACCTATGATCATGTTGCTGACATGGACACATCTCAGGTTGGGAGCACACAGTTATTGTATTATCAACATACAACTGGCATGGGTAAAAATAGCTTGAATGGTTAATAGAAACCTGAGTTGTCAGCGGGGGATGTAGCCTGTACAGCTCATAAAGTTGGTCCTGGTCGGTGTGTGTGTGTGTGTGTTGGTGTTGTGTGTGGGTGTGTTGAGAGAGAGAGAGAGAGATATTTATCACTTCATCACTTCTTCAACAGGACTCTGTATTCTCCAGTGTGGCCAAGAATATTGTTGAGTCTTGCATGAATGGATATAACGGAACTATATTTGCCTAGTAAGTGGTCTTTTATGATGTTTATTTACAGTAAATTCAGAATATTTTATGGCACAATCACTCTGCTGCACTCATTCAGTTCCTTTTCTGATTCCTCTTTTGCTTCTGCAGTGGACAAACAGGCTCAGGGAAAACCTTCACCATGCTTGGTGAGAATTCAGTTTATTGTTTACATTGTGTAGTACAAATTCTTTAAGATCTAGCAATAGAATAACACATTTTTTTCCTCTCTCGCTCTAGGTCCATCTGAGTTGGATAACTTCACGGATGAACTGAGGGGAGTTATTCCTCGAAGTTTTGAGTACCTGTTTTTTCTCATCAACAGAGAAGTGGAAAGGGTGAGCTCTAACATATGTTGGTGTTGGTGAACCACTATTTCATGTTTGTTTTGTAATTAATTTGGTGCTTTGTTTATTCTTTTTCCTTAAAGTCTGGCCAGTCCAAGAGCTTCCTTTGCAAATGTTCATTTATTGAGATATACAATGAACAAATTTATGACCTTCTGGACACAGCCTCAGCCAGCCTTTTCCTCAGGGAGAACATCAAGAAAGGTTTATTTGTTGAGGGAGCTGTGGAGAAGTTCGTCAACTCAGCAGCTGAAGCCTACCAGGTATATATTGCTTGACTGTTGTGACTCGTAGAAGGTTATTGTACTTAAATTATACATACGATACAAAACACTCCTGTCTGACTAGTTAGAGGGGATAAAACACCTATATTCCTATATATCTAGTATACAGTTCCATCATCATAATGTGAAAAATAATTAATTAATTAAATCCTATGAAATAAGGTTTACAGAATTTGTGTTTGAAACCACTTAGGTTCTGTCTATGGGCTGGCGTAATCGACGAGTGGCCTCCACCTCCATGAACCGTGAGTCTTCTAGATCTCATGCTGTGTTCACCATGACTTTGGAGTCCAAAGAGTCCATCAATGAAGTGGTGAACATCCGAACGTCGCAGCTGAACCTGGTCGATCTGGCAGGCTCTGAGAGGCAGAAAGACACAAACACAGAAGGCTCCAGACTCAAGGTGAGCTCGTTGAATACAGTCTTATACTGAGGTACTACATTTATGATCTTTTCTGCTGCTAAAAGCTGTTCTCTGCATTTCTTCTCTTTTAGGAGGCCAGCAGTATCAATCGCTCCCTCATGTGCCTTGGTCAGGTGATCATGGCACTGGTTGATGTGTCCAATGGGAAGAACCGCCACATCTGCTACAGGGATTCTAAACTCACCTTCTTGCTAAGGGTCAGTGTTTTGGTGGAGTATGTATTCTGTTAATGTTGCTGTGTGTCAGTGGGGAGTTACCTCCCCTGCAGTTATTCAGAATTTGAGTAGATAATATGCACTGCT